AAAACAATGATGATAATAGTATTGCAATGTATGTGATGCTTGCAACTATGTCACCTAAGTTACGGAAGCAACATGTGAGTATAGATGTTAATACATGCTTTTTTATTTCAAGGAGTTAAATGATAATAATCATGTGTGGAAAGATATAAGACTTCCTAACAACTATACCGATGAGAAATCATAGAGGAATTTTCAGTCAATGCTCAGGTATTGAAGATGAGAAGTTTCTCAATTGAGTTATGAACCATGAACTAAGTATTGACTTGGTTCTGCAATCTCTGTCAGAAAGAGAGAATAAGCTTGAGTGTACTCTCATTGAGTTGTTTAGCATGCTTAAAACCGTTAAGCCCAATATCAAAATTAGTAGTCGACAAGCCATTGATTCCTCTAAGAATATTAAGAGGAAGTCTAAATCGTCCGTGGTCGTAAATCATAACGAGATACAGATATTGTTATTCCGGATAGACCGTCACGTGTGGTATCTCTTACTTATAAGGTAAGTAGTTGATCTTACAAATTAAAGTGTGGTGACAATTAAATGAACACGTGGATGTTTTGTTTTAGAACAAAACATTGGAGATCCGCTGAGAGATTCCTTATAGATAACTATCTGAGTGTCAATGGTTAATCTTTAATGTTCAGTCATAGAGTTGGTCCTTTGATTTGATGTTATCATGGTGCCTTATATAAGGATAGTCATACTTTGGCGATGTTGGATGTTGCTCTGTCAATGGCCGCTAATACGACGTCATTTGGGTATGTCAAGATTCATATGAAAGTTGTGAATGACCAATAGAGGATTCGTCACCCTCAAATAGTAAGAGAATATGATTTACATTTCATTTAGTTAGTCGATAATGAAATCCTTGATCAAGGTGTACTCATAAGTCGAAATGAGTTTTCAACTTATATTGACTTAATAGTGGAATGAAATATATAATCTATAATTGATGACACTTATCCCTACTCATAATTGATCGGATCATATTGATGAAGGGGTTATAATTTTATGGTAAACGAACAATTTTTGTTTTGTTATACCACGTAACATTTTTTGTCACATATATTGCTCTGACACATTGCTAAATGTCAATCTGGGACTGCGAACGTGAGTATGTGATAAATTAAAAGGGTGTTTTAATTTCTCGATTTTGATTAGATCAAAATAATAATTCACATTTACGTCGCTAGGTATCGTGATTGAGAACTTGATGAGTCACACACAAAAGGAGAACTGGAAGATTGTGTTTTATTAATTAATTAATTTAACAAGCATTGAATAAATTAATTAATTGTATTACTTATTTATTGGCTCGAATTAATAAATTCATGGACCTGATTTAATTAAATGAGTTAATTAAATCTTGAATCAGATTAGGAGATGGGTCAAGCCCGTTAGGATTTGTATAAATAGGTGGCTATAGTTTTGGATCTGTAGAGAAAATTCATTATTTTTGTCAGTACAAGTAAAATCTTAATTGTCACAATTTGTTTCTCTGTATGGATTATCATTCGAGGCTGGACAATTGGACAGTTGTGAGTGATAGATCGATGTTCTTAGAACAAAAGGAAAAGCAAAAAGTTTGCAGATCTTTTCAAAGGTATATTTTATCACAATTTCTATCTAAACACAAACAGATCTTTGATGGGAATTAAAATCTGTTTTATTTTTTTTTTACTGCGCATGATATGTAAATTCCCAACAGGAAGGGTGCTGGTACTCTATGAAGTGTTTGGCAACAATGGTGTATCGTATTTGTGTGGTGGTTTACGGTAAATGGGGTTGATGCAACAGTGTATGGATTCGATTAAGGATGCCCTGTCGATTTGTACTTTTTTTACTAGAAGAATGGGTGAACACACTATTTTTAAAATTTTGAAATATTGAGCATAATTTCTCCAAAAATATGACACAGAATAATTTGAAAAATAGCAACAAGACAAAAGCTATCTCCATTTCCAAGGTTGCCCAGAACAATTGTCATCTTTCATTAGATTTCTCGAAAGGCTAGAAATAATCTAATTGTACGAAATATTCATAATATTTACATATTATTACATTTATGTCTCAAATTTTTTTCATCGTATTCTTATTCTTAAATTAACATAAATTATTTGTAATTATGATTTTTCTCCAAAATTTTCTTTAAAATAGAGTAAAAAGAGTCATTTGCTCATTGTATTTTTAAATAAGCAAAACAAATAATAGTGCAAAAATGCGATTAAATATTTGACATTCATTTCGTTAACAATATTTTTAGACGAAAACCATGATTAAGGACATGATTTCTTTGAAAAAAATGTTAAAAATAAGAATATGATGAAGAAAAATGTCAATGATATGAATATGATAATGAATAAAGGTTAACAATTTTTAACATAATTAAAATGGGATACCGTTCTTTACGTCCACAGTTTTTATATATGCGTTCCACTCTATATACATTTCTAATAAAATATTAAAATTTTAAAAAATTGCTATTTTCATCAACGTCGAATTCCAATATTGTCCTTATTAAATTCATTCATTTAAACAATATAGATCCATACAAATTATATATATATATATATATACACATTCCTAATACAATTTCGAAAATAACTATATTCATCCAATCACTATCAACATCTTAATCTAGTTTTTACTTTTTATTTTCTATATTGTCATGTCGGTACATTACTATTTAGTTATAAAGGTTAGCAAATTTTATTTTTTTAATTTATAGGATTATCTCAAAAGGATACTGCTCACGCAACCAAACAAATCTCTTCTCAAATCACATATTAATTAATTTCTCTTATAAACTCATAATTTTGGTTGTTTGTGTTTCGATTGATAATTTTAAGTTTGTTTCCTTTTATAATGTAAAAATATTTGACATGTAATGAAACTTAATTTTGAAATTTCTTGTATATTCATCTGTCAAATCAATACTTAAAAAATGCATAAAACATAAAGATTCCATTTTTCATATCATGAAAAAATTATAACTCTAATAATGTGTTATTTTTTTATTTTTTTTATTTTTTTTATAAATTTTCATTGAAGATGATATTTTATGATTAGGGTTTTATGATTTTAGTTAAAGATGATGTTTATGATTATTAAAATTTTAGTTAAACAAAAACTCTAAAAGAATATAAAAATGTTTAAAAGAATTTACGAAAATAAAAATTAGTGGATGAATTTAGAACAATGGGTAAATTTACATAAATAAAAAATATAATATAATTATTTTCTAAAAGTGGATATATACAAAATTGTGGATGTAAATAGAAATACCTTTAAAATATGGTGTGTGTGTGTGTGTGTGTGTGTGTGTGGGTGTGTGTATATTTATATATATATATATGTTTTTTTTAATTTAAAAAATGTAGAGTGAACCGCCATTCTCAAAAATATCTCAAATTAATAATTATACGAAGACAAAATTTAATCTCACATCAACTTAGATGAACACATCAAGTTAAATGAACATAACCGCAAATCTTAGCAACATTAACGAATCAAGTTAAGTGAATATAACCGCCGCAAATCTTAGCAACATTCTATTGTTAAATTGCATGTTTAATTCCCAATTTTGTTCAAGGTTGTGATCTTGTCCCCAACAAATTTGCTGTCATTATGCCCCTATTTGAGCCTCATTTTTACCTCATTAAAATGAAAAATATGACTGTTATCCATCACATCAAACCACCATTTTTGAATTTTTATCTCTGGTGTGGGGCCATAACGGCTCAATTTCTAATTCTCATTCTCATTATAATGTGGCTCAAACGGGCTCTATAATAATAAATAAAAAAATAAAAAAATGAGAGAGAGAGAGAGTAAGAAAAAACTTTTAAAAAGAAGGGTAAAATAACAAAAAACCTGAATTACTTCATCTTCTTTTCCTCACGATCACAATTCACTACACGCGACTTCATCTCCTAAGGTGAAGGTCTAGGCTTTAATCTAGCCCTCCCCTAGGCCCAAGGACTGTTCTTGGGTGACAACCCTCGGGACGTTCAAGGGTTGTCAAAGGGGGTTTAGCCTATGCCCAATTAGATTTGTAAAGTGAAAAGAAAAAAAATACAGGAAAATCATTTTTTTAATGGAAATTTTTTTCAATGTATAAAAATATTTTTTACACATAAAAAATTTATAGGAAAATCAGTATAAAAATATTTTTTGCGCCCTTTACTCTTTTCCTGTTGATCTCTATCCATCAACTGTCAGAAATTCCTTTTCTTAGCATCGAGATGATTGCTGAAAAATCCTAAATGACAATCACACAAAAGTTTTCTCCATTTCCAACACAACGCCCATGACTGTTGCTGGGCCAAAAAAAATCTCAAAATAATTAATAAGAAAATTAACCTCACGTGAAATTAAGCCATGGTGATTAAAATTATTATTATTATTATTATTTTAATTTCAATAAATTTTTCATGTGATTAAAATTAATTAATTTACGAAACATGATCTAAATGAACATAACCCTAAATCTTGGCCATATTATATTGTCCTTAGCTCACCAAACACATCACCCTTTTGACATTCGTACAGTGATCCAACAACCAAACGTAGAAAGGGTAAATTCCTTTCAAGGTCTCTAATGTTTCGTAAGTATTATAATTATGCCCTTAACTTTTTCACATTATCTACGCGGGCAGTATCCATATCTACCAAAAAGAAAATAACTATAAATGTCCATGTATATCACACGTGATGACAAACCGAAATGGTAAATTTGTTAAAAAAAGATGAACATTTACAGAAGTTGAAGGGTTAAAAATCCTTTTTTTGAACAATTTTACCTGTTTCGTTAGACATCACGTGCACGTTGCATGGAAATTTCATGTCTAAGTAGGCATTTTAAGTCGTGTGGGGGATATAGCTCACACGTAGTTAAAAGTTTGGGATATGAATACTACAAAAAGAAAGATTTGGGAGAGGACTGACACTTTTACGAGAAGTTTGGGATCCTCGAAGTGATTTACCCAAAACAAAAGGCAATTCTTTCCTCGTGAGTAATAGGACGAGAGAGGATTCATATCTCCTTCAAAGAATCTTCGAAGCTCAATCCTGTATCATCACTTCCCAATTCCGATCCCGGGTCCAAATTCGGGTCTTTCATCTCCATGGCGACTGAGCAGGCGGCAGGGGTGGAGATATCTGAGCCGTTTCTTCTTGATTCAGAGGCAGAACGCAAAACCAGGGTCGTTGATGCCGATGAAAACGAGGAGGAGGTGGTGGAAATAATCCCCGAATGGAAGGAGCAGATCACGATTCGAGGGCTTGTAGTGAGTGCTTTATTAGGCGCTCTTTTCTGTATAATTACACACAAGCTCAATCTCACGGTCGGAATCATTCCTTCTCTCAATGTTGCTGCCGGTCTGCTCGGGTTTTTCTTTGTCAAGTCTTGGACCGGGTTTCTGTCGAAATTAGGGTTTCATGTTAAACCATTTACTCGGCAAGAAAATACTGTTATCCAGACGTGTGTTGTTGCTTGTTATGGCCTCGCCTTTAGTGGTAATTAAGCATATATAGAAGTGTACTTGCATTTCTGTTTTAGCTAATGGGTTGAGAATTTCTTATTTGTTATTTTTGTCAGGGGGATTTGGGTCTTACTTGCTTTCGATGGATGAGAAAACGTACAAGCTGATTGGCGAGGATTACCCGGGTAATCGAGCAGAGGATGTTAAGAATCCGGGGTTGTTGTGGATGATGGGGTTCATATTTGTTGTCAGTTTTCTTGGACTTTTTAGCCTTGTTCCTCTTCGGAAGGTACTTTATGATTCCATTTTTCAGTTATGCAGTGTGCTTGGGTAAATAAATACATAGTTGACTTTATGATGTTTAATATACATGCTTCTTGATCTTGTTTGAAGATGTTCACTTCTTGCATTTGCTCGAGGCATACTTGGTAATGGATGGACACTTTGGCACCTTTATATTGGGATAAGAAAAGCTTCCATTTATATTGAATGACTTAATTCTATGCTTTCAATATGGCCTGACAATGAGGGAAATATATATCAATAGAAAGGCAAGGGATCTTTGAGCTTCTGTTAGCTAGTAAAGATACTTGTTTAAGAAAAAATGTCAAAAATCCTGTTTGCAGAGGTGTGATGGGTTTGGGGGGATTTGCTTATGATTATAGAATATAGCTAATAGTATGTTTGCATTGAATTTAAGGTTATGGTCTTGGATTATAAGCTTACATACCCCAGTGGAACTGCCACAGCAATGTTAATCAATAGCTTCCATACAAATACTGGAGCTGAACTTGCCAGGTATTCTAAGATACATCTTTAACTTTTTTCCCTCATTTCAATTTCTATCTGTCAATATGCATAAGACTGGAAAATGCTACTCAAGTTTGAAGAAGGTTGATATAATTTCAATAACGTAGCACACTATTTTTTAACAAACAGGAAAATTTTTGCTTCTTTATGTAGGGAGCATATGTTAGGGAGACGAACGAGTGCAAAACTGCCCCGCCTTGTCTCCCCTCCCTGAATAGTAAATGAGGTGGGGATGGGGATCATGGTCCCCACCTTGAATTCCCCGGACCAGCCCCGAATTATTTTATTTATATATTTTTCAATAGACATCATTTTTAAAAAGTAAATAATAGTTTAAAAATTAATTAATGAGTTAAATGGGATGGTTAATGCGGATTGTTTATGTCCTTGACAGAGCGGGGATGGTAAGACTGCCTCAATTGCCATCATTTTTCTTGTTTGACTAAAGCTACTATGTTCCTTGAATTTTTAACATAAAGTTAATGGTTTTCCACCCCCCCCCCCCCTCGCTTTGGTACTCTGATTAATTTTAACAAATAGATAGTTTCTTAGAAGTGAAGTGAACGTAACTTTGAGTCAATCAGTTGCGTAGATGAACTGTGGATGAGATACAAGGTACTCTGATTAATTTTAACAAATAGATAGTTTCTTAGAAGTGAAGTGAACGTAACTTTGAGTCAATCAGTTGCGTAGATGAACTGTGGATGATGGGGGCAGCTTTCCTCGAGTCTGCAATGGAAAACTCCACTATACATGAGGAACTTTATATGTGTGATCACAATTCTGTTGATAGAATGAAACAAAATTCCCTTGTGGAAGACAATTTTTTTTAAAGAACTCACCATGATACACCTGATCCAAGCATAACATATCATTAAAAAAGGATACAAATTTTTTACTTATACTTAGTACAATAGGTCTGAAAAAATTCTGTCTTTCAATAAGCATATATAAGCGGCTGTTTAATGTTATATGCAATTCTTTAGTGTTGCACCACAAGGTATGTATGTTAGAAGTTGGTTCCTTTCAATGCTTATAATGTTCTCAGTGTGGGTTCTTTATTTCTTCATTGGGGGAGTTGGGAGTTGATGCATAGACAAGTTTTCACTAGGAGCTATTTCATGGGGATGGTTAATTCATCAAATGTGACGAGGGCTGTTTTGGTGAAAGAGGAGTGGAAAGAGAAGCTGTATCCCTTTATTTGATAGATCTGTTAGAGAGCTGAACACAGTATCCAAAGACAAAACAGTTGATTGTAGTCGAAGATTTAATTCTGTCCACTTATTGGAATGATTACCTTATCAACCGTTGTTCAAGATTCTTGACCCCTCAACCCCAGCCTTAGACGAAAAACAACTGGCAAGCAATTACTTTTTACAATTAAGATACAATGTTAATAGTGGAGTGGCTACATGGAGCATTTTCATTTGTTTATGTTCTACTAAAAGTCTAATGAAATCAAATCTTTTGCACCCATTAGGCATTGTTAATTCTTTTTTACTTCTATCTATTGTCATCACATTGCTCTTGCCCATTTGATTTTCTTCTAGTCTATGCATGACATTCCAATTGTCTAAATTGTTGTTTCTTCAATTCATTCTCAATGAGTGCCCACTTGTTGGTTTATACCCCCGTTTGGCCCCTATTAATTTTTATTACATTACATTTCATTTTTCTCTCCCTTATTTCAACCACATAATCTTCCATAAAATAATATTACACGTAAATTGAAAATTTTTCCTTCTTTTTCAACCACCCATTTTTCAAAAAAACACTATTCCACCTATTTTCATTTTTAAAAAATGGGGGCCAAACGGGGGCTATGTGTTCAATTCATTTTCTATCAATTGTACCTTTATTTTAACACCTTCATTCTCTTACATTTATCTTGACTTCCTCGTTTACATTTCTTCATTCATGTTGACTTCTTTGTTCTCTGTTTTTTGTCCTTTTTGCCACAATGGAGCGAGCTTATTTTACTATCTTTCTTTTTTTTTTTTGCAGGTCTTTATTGCTATTTCCTTAATTCTTGGGGATGGGATTTACAATTTGATCAAGATAATAGCAATAACAATTATGGAGATGTGCAGAAGTAGCACCAAGCACCATAATATTCCAGTCGTCAACGAAGTTGCAGGTGGAAGTTAGTTTTCCAAATTGTTTTGTTCTGTTTCACTATATTGCATAATTGTGTTTTTGGTTCACTTTACACTGACAACATACAAACTCATTCACATACAGTAGGCTTGGTGACCTTCTTCCCCAACCTCTTAAGTCATCACATATCTTCAATTTTTGAATTACGATGAACGAAAATTATATCTGTTATCGATATGTGTAGGCATTGTTTCAAACAAAATGCAGGCATCGCATCAATATTTTCTATTAAAACTAATTGAGCTTCAACAGATAGTGACAAATCCAAGTTACTAGTGGAGCAGAGGAAAAGGTATGCAGTTTTCCTGAAAGACGGGATACCTTTCTGGTTTGCGGCCTCTGGATATGTTGCCCTAGCTGCCATATCTACTGCTACAATGCCAATGATCTTTCCACCTCTTAAGTGGTATTTGGTACTTTGCTCCTACATAATTGCACCTGCCCTTGCCTTCTGCAACTCATATGGCACTGGGCTCACGGATTGGAGTCTGGCTTCTACTTATGGAAAGATTGGCCTCTTTATTATTGCTTCACTGGTCGGAAGCAATGGTGGGGTCTTAGCCGGATTGGCAGCTTGTGGTGTTATGATGTCCATTGTCTCTACTGCTGCTGATTTAATGCAAGATTTTAAGACTGGCTACCTTACTCTGTCATCAGCAAAATCTATGTTTGTTAGCCAGTTAGTTGGAACTGCCATGGGCTGTGTCATTGCACCCCTCACATTTTGGATGTATTGGAGCGCCTTCGATATTGGAACCCCCGATAGTCCATACAAAGCACCGTATGCTGTTATATACAGGGAAATGGCCATTTTGGGAGTGGAGGGCTTCTCTGAACTTCCCAAGCATTGTCTGGCTATATGTTCTGGGTTCTTTATTGCAGCTCTGGCCATAAACCTCTTGAGAGACATCACCCCTAAAAAGGTTTCCCAGTTCATCCCTATTCCAATGGCAATGGCAGTGCCATTTTATATTGGTGCTTACTTCGCGATTGACATGTTTGTTGGCACTGTAATTTTATTTGTATGGGAGCGGATAAATAGGAAGGACGCCGAAGATTATGCAGGCGCGGTTGCTTCAGGTTTGATATGCGGTGATGGAATATGGACTATACCATCTGCAATTCTTTCCATCTTCAGGATCAATCCACCCATCTGCATGGACTTTAAACCTACTTCAAGTGGTTGAACAAGCTAACCCGAATGTGAGTTTGAATTGCTTAGGTCTCTTGGAACTTCCCGACGCCCGTAAATAAGATGTATTATTAATTTGTTTCCCATTTTTTAGGCATTTAAGCTCCCTCTCTGCTTTAACTGAAGTAAATTTATTTTAAGGGTTGTTTTTAATAACTAGGTGCAGTATTTCTTTCATTAGGGGAGGAGGGTCGGTAACTTTCTACATCCCTCCCCTCGCGAGCTCGGTGCTGTTGTCAATAAATTTTATGTCTTGGCACATTACTACTACTAATGAAATGGGAAGATATTAACACGATTTTTTAATGGCTCATTTTATTTATTAAGAAAAGGCGATGAGCAGAGATTTCAAAAATGTATTGAGGGATGGTAGATTCAAGAAGTTGATCTTCACTCGTCTTCCCAATTCTCTCTTTTATACATATATACATTTAAAATAGGAATATGGTACTTGTAGATAATGCAGTGTTCACCCTCACATAAAAGGAAATTCACTTTGAATAAATTATATTTTATTTCAAGTAAGTCCCCTTAACGTGAGATGATGGATACCGTTATGGATACTTTGATATACATGTAACAAAACATATAATATCCAACTAATTAAAAGGAGGAAGTTAGGTATGGCTACAAAAATCATTAGAAGAGCATATGGTTGGTTTGATGATTGAGACAAAGACTGGTAGAAGGATTAGCTTTATTTCTTATCGAATAGCATGCATGCAATGCACTGAAGGCTATCTTTGAATTTTGGGTTACTAATAATTCAACAGGTGCCTCTTTTGACACCATTATGGCAATCCATATGTGACAACTAATTGAATCAGGTACACACACATACCCCAATGCTCATCTCCACATCATATCAATCGCTATCTCCATATATAAAAGAAATAAGCCATTTGAAAAATATGAAGGCTATATGTAGAGGTGATCAAATAACACACACTAAATTTTACATTAAGCCCTATTTGATAGAGATTAAAATAAAATTTTTAGGAGATTTATATTCGATGTTGATGAAATGTGTGGTTGAAAAATTATGAATTCTATAAAATATAGTTAAAATTAATTGTTGACTTTAACTTGAATTAAAATCTTGATTTTAATTTTATCGAATGGACCAAGTTTGACATTCTTGTGAGATGGCATTTTTTTTAGAGATGAATCTTCACAACACTTTAAATAATCAGTAACACAAATTTTGACGACACTTGAAATGCTAAACTCGATGTTCACCAAGTACAATCATTCTACACGTACACTTTTTTTCACATCATACAGACATGCAAATGGGTGGGGTTATGATTAAAATAATCGTGGACCCCATCTTTATGAAGGGGTGTGAAAAATAACTTTAAAAAAAGTGATATACAAATAGCATTTTTTCACCAATATGTTCAGTTAGTTTAATCCAATAACATAATGCATGACTTGGCATCCTTGAGCAGTGTCAGCGTCGCTGTCAGCTTAACCAGTACTTAGTGCTCAAATTGATGGTAAATGTATAATTGACAAATGTCACATGCAAACTGACTTCTGAGGGCAGGACTTTGCTGCCGCCTAAATCCGCCAATCAGGAAATTCCAAAGTGCTAAATAAGTTAATATTGAGCTCATTAAGTAGCTATGGAACCTGAAATTAATAATTACATTCTCCACTTACTTCCACCATAAAAGGAAAATATTCTCATTTTAGGAGATGTCAAGTCTCAAGTCTAATTGAAACAATCACCCAGAATCGCTCTATAGCACCCATGTAGTAAAATAGTCTATTCAAATCGCAATAGCTCAGACTAGCCACTCAAAATGCGATACTTCAATGTCTCACTTTCACTTTATTTCTCTTTATTACCATCTTCGACACCGAGCTTTCACTACTTAAGTGGATCGATGTTTGAAATGTCTTGATTTAACTAGAAAGTTATATCATGCGTACATATATAACTATCCCATTGAAGATTTCTCTAAAAATTGTACACACTTACTTTTAACTTAATTCAAAATTATGCTTTTGACTTCCGTTTCAAAGCTCATGCAATGCTCGACCATCTTATGAGGCTGTTATAATTTTGACCATCCATAACAAAAGTATAAATAAATTTATGCATCACGCATGAATATTAATGACATACTGCCTGAAAATTTCCTTAGTACCAAAGTATTGTATGGAATTGAGGTTAGTTCATTTGACCAAGTTTGGATGGATGATGACTAAAAATAACCACTCTCGAAAATGAATTTTTTCTTACATGTATCATATATTTAACCTACATGGCAATATTGTTGATACATTCTTCCAAAAGCTTTGGTGGCTCTTTTGATCTCAACGATTAGTGTGTGCTTATTTCTTGTTGGGCAAATATTGCCTAGACATTCAATGTTTCCTAGTTAAAATATAACTAGTTAGCGTTATCTCTCTTCGACATACTTGTCGTTTATTTCAGTTTAAGCACTAGAGAGGGAACTTAGATATCACCCCTCTTTTTGGTATTTCTCCTACTTATACCTTGCCCTTCCCTCCTATTTTGGTTTTCGGATATTCTCCACTGATAGGATCTTACAAAATCAACATTGATGTCTACGTCATGGATGATTTTGCTAGAGGTGGGAGTATCATTGGAACTAAGAGCCATTCTTGATGGGTTCTTTCTTGCTCACTGACTTGGACTTTTGAACTTATGGATTTGGACAAACTCTCCTCTAATTGTTCGTTGCATCATCCGTGGTAGAGGTCTATGGTCTACCCAGGTTGCTCTCAAACATATCATGTATCTACTTTTCTCAGATCGTGACACTATTTTCCATGTCTATCGAGAGGAAAACTGGGATGCTCACTCACTTTTGATGTAAAGATGAGACCGACGCTGCTAACAGGAAGTATGATCCTCTGGACTTGCCTCGATGACTTTGCGCTCTTGTACGGATTGGCATATATTGTGACCTTTCGATATTCATGTCTTTAAACTTGACTGTTTCATTCTACATGTTTGTATATGAGGTAGTATATCCTCATTTCCTACTTTCATATTTATACTTTTGTTTGGAGGTCAAATGGATGTCCCCCTCCCTTATATTTGTTTATATTCCGTCTATATCATGATAGGAAATCCTAACAAATACACCATGTATGTGGTGTTGCTTCTTTTTTTTTTTTTTTTTTTTTTTTTAAACTAGAAAATAATATAAAAATTTGTGTTGTAAATAGTAAATTTATTAGTGAATAACAATTATACTCCTACCACCATAGTAATTATTATTATTGTAACCCTAATTTCTTTCCTACAAATATGAAGTTTTGGTTCTCAATAAAATATACACAAATTTATTGACTTCTATTCTCTTTTTCTCTATTTTCATAACCCGTTATCAGCACTATCTCTCAAAATCAAACTAAATTCGTTAGAACGTAATAATTTTTATTAGCATAATTCTCTCTCTCGTGTACTGAAATTAATTTGATAACATATGAATTATTTGCGGCAAAAACACGTGTATTATTATAAATACAGAATTTGTACTCTTTGCTTTAATTCATGTATGTGAAATATTAAATACTTTTTTCTGTATAACACATGTATCATTAGATGTATTAATTCATGTTCTCTTTGTTTAAATTTTTTATGATTATAAAATATATATTTATGATGATTATTGAATATTCTTTGTATCTTTAACCTAATTAAATATTTTAAAACTCTCTTCTACAAATTTTAAATTGATAACTTATCATGTTGTTCATGATGTAGTACGACATTATGATTAATATCTCAGAAGATTATTAATCATAGATCTGTCTATTATAAATATCATGTTATTATTTTGAAATAGTACAACATTATAATTAATATTCCTAAAAAATATTACTTGCTCCTAAAGTATATGAATTATAATTTTCAATATTTTAAAAGAATATTGACATATTACTCTTTAAAAAACAATTTTAAAATATAACATTATCCCAAAATAACATATTTTGAAAAATATATTATTTTGAATTAGTGTTTATCCTTGAAGAAAAACATATGACTCATGTCATGTCATGTTGACATTGACTACTTGATTAATTAAAAAAAAAAAGGTTAAACCCTAACCTTAAGGGTCCCCCACCACTCCTGCCCTGGAGTATCATGAGGGAGGTAAATCGCAAGTTATGCCTCTAAGGGTACAGGGTGGAAGACTGCTTGTACACTTGCACTTACCCGAGAGCTAAATCCATATTTCAGGATTCGAACCCTTGATGCAGCAGCCTCAAGCAAAGTTGAATTTCTCCACCCTCCTCTTTTACCACTTGAAGATGTGCCCTGGGGGCGACTACTTGATTAATTGTTATGTGAAGAGTTTGAGAAAGACAATAAGGGTCCGTTTGAATGTAAGAATGAAATTTAGGTGGAAAGAAAATAAATTTCAAAAATTAAATTGCCAAAAACTTGTTTTATTGAGAATTGTCAATTAAACTTGTTTGATTGATAAATTTTTTTCACATGAAAAATGTTGAAATTTTGGATCTTTTGATATTCATTTGGCTTTGCTTTTCATAAAAACTGTTAATTAAAGAGATAAATTTTGTTATAATTGAGGATAGAATTTGTTTCCATTGCCGAAAATTTAAAAAAGGGTGGAAAACACTTTTCCGCCAAAACCAAAGGAAAACAGTTTCCTTAAAAAGCAAGAAAATGGATCACGTGAGGGGTAGGGTGGAAAAGCAATCAAGAATTCCTATAGGATAGTGCAAAAGCACCTATCTTCCTTCGTCATCGTCTTTATGATTTATTGAAAATTGAATACTTCACTGTGAAAAATTCACAAATTTTTTTGAAAAAAATTGTTTGAAAGATTTAATTATTAAAAGACTATAGTCCTCCCAAAGCCTATTATGAATCATGCATCTTTGTTTGCAAGATTTTAAAATTATTAGTGACCATTATTATGAACTGTTCAGAATATATTCAAAAATGACCGTGGAGAAAAAATCACTAATAAAGATATGTTGAAGAAATTATTTTTCATCTTTCATGTCCCGAACGTGCTCCTCCTGCAGCAATATCGTGAGTGTGGTTTCTAAAAATATTCAGAACTCATATCTTGCCCACTTATAGTTGAACAAAATATTGAACTGTTGATGAAAAATCATGGGTTACATGCAACTGATTTTGTATCATTACATAGGCCAAATGGTATTACACTGTAAAAGGCAAATGCAATATCAGGACAAGGACGTACACATAGAGGTGGACGCGAACATAGGATAAATTATGGACGAAATAATCAACAAAGCTATCAGCAAAAAAAAAGGTCAACGCAAAC